AAAAACGAACTTTTTTTCCGAAAAAAAAACTCACTTCATTTTGTTAGTTTTTTCAATATTTAAGTATATTTTTATAAAAAAAAAACTAGTTATACAAAAAAAAAATTGTACTCTATTGATAAACATCAACACCGACTAAAAAAAATATCGATCAGTGTAGATTCACATTATGAATCCAAACTGTAAATATTTCAATTTTTAACATTCACAATATGAAAATGTTCGATCAGTTCAGATTCACATTGTGAATCTGACTTACTATTATGCACATTGTGAATCTGAAAAGATTAACAATGTGAATCTGAACAGGTTTACAATATGAATCTAAACAGGTTTAAAATGTGAATCTCAAATACAATATCGTTTTTTTAACATGAATATGAATCAATGTTTAAAAAGTATGAATTTTGATATATTTATTAATTTTTTTCTATAAAAAAATAGACCTTATCTTTTCAACAAACAAAATGAAGTGAGTTTTTTTTTCGAAAAAAACAATTCGTTTTTTATATATCATCACAGATTTCTATGAAAGAAAACGAAAAATCGTGAATGACATATTCGTTTTTTTTTTTTTTTTTTTTTTTGATAAAAAACATGATCTAAAAAAATTTTAAACGAACAAAAAGAAAGTGAGTTTTGTTATAATCTGTTGAATGTACGTTCATTGTAAAACTCTACAACTCTTCCTTTTTGCCGTTGATCGCTTTAAATTTCGACGCTTTAGATTGGTTCCTTTATTAATAATGGTTCTCTATTTAATTCTTTCATATATATATATATATATATATATATATATATATATATATATATATATATATATATATATATATATATATATATATATATATACTAGAAGTGTACCCGCGCAAAGCGGCGAGGCGTGTAAATTTTTTCGGTGAGATGTTTCCTCTACAAAAATGTTATGTTACAAAAGAAAGTACATGTCGAAGACAAAATAATCAAACTATGGTGTTATTTGGGAGATGAAATTATTTTTTGTTCCTGGACGGTGGGCTTTATAGCAGAGGAAGGAACAAATAGGTATATGCGATTGGAGAGATATTTGAATCAACATGCTAAATTTAAGGATATCTAAAAGGGTTCAAAATTTGAATGAATCCACGATTTGAGGGAACCATATCAAATTGCTGAGAAATATAAAGAGATTTGATGATAAATATTTGAATTCAAAATGTGGTTAAAATTTAATATTATTTTATTAATGGTTACTTGTACTATCCGCTTCATCATTTGAACGTGTTAAAAAAAATATTATTATTATAATCAATCTATTTTTAGAAATAGTTAGATTTCATAAAAAAGATGTGATGTAAGAGGAAAATATTAACGAAATTTTGAAAATCTTGAAAGTAAATCAAGTTAAGGATTGAAGTTGAAGAACATTATAATAAATATATCAAACAAAATGACGTATTATTGTGAGTTTTGGTACCTAAGCTTATATACCCTTAAGGGTATATAAGGATAGGTACCCTAACCCACCATAATACATCGTTTTGTTTGATATCTTTATTATAATGTTCTTAAACTTCAACCCTAACTTGATTTACTTTCAAGATTTTTGAAATTTTACTATTATCTTCCTCTTACATCACATCTTTATGTCGGACATCTACTAAGCTTTATATATTATAGTTAAAAATTAAAATTATGTAAGACGAAGATAAATATAAAATTTATATAAATCTTGGAATTAAATCAAGTTAGAAGTTGAATTAGAAGAACATTGGACAATTACAATGTGTATATATGATACAAAATAAATTAATATTGTGAGTTTGGGTACCTAAGCTTATATACCCTTAAGGGTATATTCACTTTTCCATATATATATATATATATATATATATATATATATATATATATATATATATATATATATATATATATATATATATATATATATATATATATATATATATATATATATGAGAGTTATGATGGTTATCTTTTACCAAAAGGGGTATGAGCCTATGAGGATACGATGTGTTTTTTTGGAAAAAAAAAATATGTGAATCTAAAAGTAAGATATGAAAAGATTTTGTGAAATTGGAATAGTCAACAAAAAGGACATGAAGTGAAGGACATAAAACGCCATTTAGTTTTTCCCTTTGAGTAGTTGAGTGTCAGTCGGGTCTTGAGACCACAAGATTGTCAATGTAAACATTGGCAAGAAGGGTGGGGGTCTCACTTCACATTGGCAAGAAATATGGGACCAAGGCAATGTATCATCACTTGGTCTGTGGCTAGAATTGACAAAATAAATAAACTTCAGCCAAGTAATAAACGGATGGGTCCTCCTATTAATACTATAAACGAGTATATGTGATAAGTGGGGCTCTGGAAAACTAAATAATTTCCAACCAAGTAATA